GAGCACGGTGCCAAGCAGCCTTTGAAGCAACATTCCCCGACGGGGAACGTGGTATGCCAGGACTGGGCAAAGAGGTAAAGGGTGCGAAGAGAACGGTTCCCTGGATCCATTCAGGCTCCTGCACAACTCAGCCTTCCTGAAGGCATTTTATTAATCTGGCTATAATGAAGACCAAAAGCAGTCTCTCATTTTGATCAGGGAAAAAAAAAGACTTTAGTGTTTTTATTTGAAATGAGAGAAAATGCATTAAACTCAAATATCTGGACGTAAAATCAAAACTCCCCGATGTGCGTGAGGCCCACGGCATTGAACTCCTCGTCAGGCAGGCTTAGGAAGAGAGAGGTCAGGGCTGGGTTCACCAGGCCCAGCTCTCCCCCCGCCTGCCCAGGCCCAGTCCCCCCCAACTGGTGAACACAGCAGATGAACAAACGGGTTGACAGCTTCCGGTGGGTGGCCACGGAACCTCTTCTTTGAAGGGAACCCCTGGCAGGCCACTGTTCTGCGGCCACACTGGGGGAAGTGGCACAGTGGATGCTGGGTTTAAATAGGAGGTCCAGCACGTCCGCAGTCGCAAGCATTGTCGGGCCTGAGCAGCAGGTTGGAACCGAGTCTGACGCCTCGTGAAAGAAAGACCGCGTGTCCTCGTCTCTCTTGATGTAACACGGATTTACAAAGGGGTGCCTACTATTACAAGCATCGTAACAAACATGTCCGCACGTGGGTAAAAGACAAGTGAGGAGATCCGTGAAGAACACTGACATTGCGCGTCGTTCAGAAAATCGTTTTGTGAGAGCTTTTGTTTTACGTGCGAGAGCCGAAGGTAATGAAAGCAGAAAAAGATCCCCCAAAAAATTGGGATCACGGAAACGCTTTGAAGTTTCTGCGGGTGCATATTCTTGTATGTGAAGCGGCCGACAAAGAATGGCTTAAATTTATTTGCGTGGTATTATATCTATTATTCTTTTATTCACACGCCTGTGGATATATGGTGGAGAGTTTGTGTGGGAAAGGAGTGATCAGGCCATCGCTTGGAAGAATCCCTCCCGATTCGGGGCAATGAAGGCCCCGGCGGGGAGGAGATGGCCGTGGCTGGCGGCTGGACACAGGTGGTCTGCACCCGGTCGCCCGCTCGGCTAGGGGCAGTCAGCAGAGGCGGAGCTGAAAGGCGCGGAAGGCTGGTGGAGAGGGGCGGCATCCTGTGTGGCTCAGAACAAAACGCTTCATATAAATGGCGGTGTCGGAGGGCTGGGGGGGGAGGGATGGAACCGAGCGGCATTGGGGCGCCTGCACCTATTTATCATGACATTGCATGTGCTTCTTGCTTGCTCACACTGTTAGTAATAGTCGTTGGATAATTATTAAATAATATCTAGACTCGGAGCTGAACGCGATCCGTAGGATAAAAGCTACTGTGGATAGTATCTATTTTGCTTTCGCCCACCACGGCTAATAAGGCTGTCGGTCTCAAACCAAGTTGCGGCCCGGTGAGGTTCATCGGGAGGCCGGGAGCCACCCCTGCACCGCGCCCCTCCTGCTGCCTCGCCCCCGGTGAAAGGCAGACGCTGGGCGGACGCGCTCACGCCTCATCCTCCGGAACAGGGGAGGCGTGGGGTTACCCATGGCGTGCGGTGACCGCAGGCCTGACTGGGACCGCGGTTGCCCTGGCTGGGGTCACAGCTGTCCTCTCAGTTCTCGTCCCCCCTGGGACTGGGTCTGGACCCAGCAGCCAGCAGCAACGAAAAGCCAGGTGCCGACTGTGATGTGGCGTGTTGGTGCGTGAGCGTGTGGCCGTCTGTGTCGGCGTGTGCGTGTGGTGGGCGTGCCTCAAGCGGGGACCGAAGACGAGGGGCATCAGGAAGCTGAGCCCTTCTCCGTCCTGGGGTCGAGCTGCATCTTGTGTCCTGCTGCACCGAAACCACACACTTTGGGACCAGAGGGCGGAGTGCAGTATTTATCACCGCGCACCCGCGCAGGTGAGGAGTAGAACGGGCATGTTCTGCCCCCAGCGGAAGCCAGGCGCACCTTAGGGAACCAGGAAGGCGATGCAGTTAGCACGCGAGCCCCGCGCCAGGTGAGATAAACGGGCATTTCTGCCCCAGCGAAGCCACGCACTTAGGGACCAGAGGGCGATGCAGTTAGCACGCGAGCCCCGCGCCAGGTGAGATAAACGGGCATTTCTGCCCCAGCGAAGCCACACACTTAGGGACCAGAGGGCGATGCAGTTAGCACGCGAGCCCCGCGCCAGGTGAGATAAACGGGCATTTCTGCCCCAGTGAAGCCACGCACTTAGGGACCAGAGGGCGATGCAGTTAGCACGCGAGCCCCGCGCCAGGTGAGATAAACGGGCATTTCTGCCCCAGCGAAGCCACGCACTTAGGGACCAGAGGGCGATGCAGTTAGCACGCGAGCCCCGCGCCAGGTGAGATAAACGGGCATTTCTGCCCCAGCGAAGCCGCGCACTTAGGGACCAGAGGGCGATGCGGTTAGCACACGACCCCCGCACCAGGTGAGATAAACTGGCATTTCTGCCCCAGCGAAGCCACGCACTTTGGGACCAGAAGGTGATGCGGTTAGCACGTGAGCCCCGCGCCAGGTGAGATAAACTGGCATTTCTGCCCCAGCGAAGCCACGCACTTTGGGACCAGAAGGTGATGCAGTTAGCACGTGAGCCCCGCGCCAGGTGAGATAAAAGGGCATTTCTGCCCCAGCAAAGCCACGCACTTAGGGACCAGAGGGCGATGCACCTAGCACGCGACCCCCGCGTCAGGTGAGATAAACGGGCATTTCTGCCCCAGCGAAGCCACGCACTTAGGGACCAGAAGGCGATGCAGTTAGCACGTGAGCCCCGCGCCAGGTGAGATAAACGGGCATTTCTGCCCCAGCGAAGCCGCGCACTTAGGGACCAGAGGGTGATGCGGTTAGCACACGACCCCCGCACCAGGTGAGATAAACGGGCATTTCTGCCGCAGCGAAGCCGCGCACTTAGGGACCAGAGGGCGATGTGGTTAGCACACGACCCCCGCACCAGGTGAGATAAACGGGCATTTCTGCCCCAGCGAAGCCGCGCACTTAGGGACCAGAGGGTGATGCAGCTAGCAGGGAGGGAGATGACAGAGAGCGAGGGAGCAGCCACAAGGCTGGGTGCAGACAGGAGCTGCCTCAACGTTTCCAGTGGTGGAAAGTGGGTCGTGGCTGCTCCTTGGCAACCAAATTGAGTTTTGTTATTTGTTTTTTGTTTTTTTTTTTGAGACAGAGTCTCGCTTTGTTGCCCAGGCTAGAGTCAGTGCCGTGGCATCAGCCTAGCTCACAGCAACCTCAAACTCCTGGGCTCAAGGGATCCTCCTGTCTCAGCCTCCCAAGTAGCTGGGACTACAGGCATTCGCCACCATGCCCGGCTAATTTTTTGTATATATTAGTTGGCCAATTAATTTCTTTCTATTTATAGTAGAGACGGGGTCTCGCTCTTGCTCAGGCTGGTTTCGAACTCCCGACCTCGAGCAATCCGCCCGCCTTGGCCTCCCAGAGAGCTAGGATTACAGGCGTGAGCCACCACGCCCAGCCCAAATTGAGTTTTATGCTTCATGAACTAGAGGCTGGATTATGGGAGAGAAAATTCATGAGAACACAGGAAAAGGGCTGCACCTGCCCGGTGCTGCACTTCTGGGTTGCAAGGTGCTGGGGCAGAGCTCCCCCGGGGGACCTGGGGACCTGTGGACGTGGGAGCTGGGAGCCGGGTGGCACCTGTGGGGCTGACCGCAGTGTGGCCCCTGCCTGTGACATTGCTCTGCGTGCAAGTCTGGCAGCACCCCGTCTGCAGGCAGCGCCAGCATCTCCCCGACACCCCTCTCCTGCAGGGGTGCGCCTCCCTGCCTGCCTCGGGTGCCCCTCCCTTCGCCGTGGGGCTTGTCATTCCAGCGACTGCAGCCCCCCAGGGGATCAGGGCCACCCAGCATCCTGCAAACGTTGCTCCATTGCTCACCTTTTTCCTTTTGCTCACCTGCCCCAGCTGAACGTCCTCAGCATGGCCACCCCCTCGACACACCCCAAAGCCTCACACCCTCTCCTGTGGCCTTGTTCTCACTTCCCAACCCTCCTTCCTCAGATCCAGCCCTCCCCCTACTCCCTGCCAACACCGGATGGGGGACCCCAGGCTCAGCCCACGCGTCTCTATTTAAGCTCATGCTCGCCAACCTCAGGTGGCTCCTGGCGCTGCCCAGTGGTCACCTGCACTTCCCGGTCCCTGCCCTGGCCCCGCTCCCCGACAGCCGTTTCACACCTGCAACCTCCCCAAACCTCCAACCTCCACCTCCTCACTCACCTCCCCAGGTGAGCTGACTTCCTAGGTCTCCGAGAAAGTCAGGTGAGCCCTCCCGTTTGCCCACCTTCCGCACCTGCCCTCTCCCCCAGCCCCGTGGAGGGTCGGCCTGTGCTCTTGCCCTGCCCGGGGACCCAGATCCTGCCCCTCTCCCCATGCAGCGGAAAGCAGAGCCCCGGGCCACCTGCTCCGGGCAGGGACTTTCTCCTTCCCCTAGGTGGAAGCGGCGGCAGCTTCCTAACACGCTTCCTAACACGCGTGAGCCCCAGGAGGTGCTGGACAGCTCCCGCTGGCATGTGACCTTGCCTGGGAAGAGTCTCGCACTTTGTGCTTAGAAGGCACGGAGCAGTGCCCAGCTCTGCAGGTGTCTGGAGCCCATTTCCAGGTGTTTATTTAAGTGCACGGCAGAAGGAGGCCAGAGGGGAGCAGTGTGAGGACAGGCCCGGCCCTCAGCTCCGCCACCCCCACTGCTCTCCCAGTCCTGGCATCCCAGAAACACTCCCAGGCCGCACATGCCTCCCAGCCATGCTTGGAGGATGGGCTCGTGCCTGTCTCTCGTGCCTGCCTCTCGACCACGATGTGGCCACACCCCGCCAACCATCCAGTCCCCTTACTCCCTTCTCACTCCCCTGGAGAAGAACTGTGAGGTTGGGGCTACGGGAGAAGCCCTGAAGTTCCCACTGACCTTCCAGGAGGAGCTTGGCGGTCTGCACACAGCGGAGGGCCGGGGAGGCGAACACAGAGGTGACTCGGACGCCGCTGTCCAGCAGCGCGGCCCCTGGAAGACAGCAGAGGAGATGCCCTTTCGTGGTTCTGGCCTCCGACGGGCGGCTGGCTCCCCTGCGGGGGCCCGGACGTCCACCCTGGGCGGACACACCTGCATAACCCCCTGAGTGTAGTGGCACCTGTGACTATGTTATGTAGTATGGCAGAAGAGAGAGGATCCCAGGTGGGCCCGAGTGAGACAGGTGAACCCTTGAAAGCAGAGATTTTCTCCAGCCAGCCACAGAAAAGAAGCCAGAGATTCGCAGTGAGAGAGATTCCACAAGCGAAAGTCGTCCCATGGCTGGCTTCGCAGATGGGGGCCATGTCGCAAGGAAGGTGGACAGCCCCCTTGCCCACAGCCAGCAAGGAGCAGACCTCGGCTCTCCGACAGCCCGGGTGGGTCTGCAGGGACCTGGGCTCCAGGTGGGAGCTCGGCTCGGGGAGACCTTGATTCAGGCTGTGAGACCCAAGCAGGGAGCCAGCCGTGCAGTGCCGGGCTTTCTGATCTGCGGAGCTGCGAGCCAACAAATGGGCGTTGCGTAGAGTTTGTGGCACTTTGTTTCCCAACAACGGAGATCTCAAGACCTGCTGAGGCTGGTGGAAGGACAAGCCTCCAGGCCACATCTCCTCCGAGACAGCCAAAGCCCTGCCCCTCGGGGGAGAGCAGGCCCCTGCAGCAAGCACCGCGTGGGACCCAAGCTGCGAGGCTCTGCGAGGCTCTCGTGGGGGCCGAATCGTGCCGCTCTCCAAAGAGGCTCGTCAGAGTCCTAACCCCTGCTGCCTCAGAACGCGACTGCGTGTGGAATTAGGGTCTCTACACAGTCATCGAGTTTAAGGTGGGTGCAGCGATGGAGATAGAATTGGGGTGGCTCTCATCCACCCTTGTAAGAGGGGGAACCCGGACAGAGACACACACGGAAAAGGCGACAAGGTGAAGGTGCAAGCAGAGGACGCCGCCTGCAAGGTTGGGGGAGGCCGGGACGCATCCCGTCCTCGCAGCCCCAGAGGGACCGGCCCTGCCGACACGGTGGTCGGGGACTGTGGCCTCCAGAGAGACGCGGCGGCGAGCGACTGGCGTGTGAGCCACGCACGGTCTGTGGGCTCTGTCACAGCAGCCCCAGCAAAGGAACCCAGGTCGATGACTGCCCCAGGACACCCGTCCCCGACAGTCTGCGAGCACACTGGGAAGGGCGGGCGTCCGAGCGCACTGGGAGAGGCAGGCGTCCGAGCGCACTGGGAGGGGCAGGCGTCTGAGCGCACTGGGAGGGGCGGGCGTCCGAGCGCACTGGGAGGGGTGGGCGTCTGAGCGAGGACTCAGGCATGAAGCGGAGAGCTGCGAAGGTACGTTACAGAGGGTGCGCACGTACAAACACACATGACACACACACACACGCTTACACATGCACACACATGCACATACACACACACACACACACACCCCGCCGTGGCAGGGGCCCCTCGGGCTGTGTGTAGCAGGCTCACACTGACTCCCGGGACAGGGAATGTCACCTCTTCCCGACTCTGTGACCAGTGACCCCACATCGGGAGCCTGAAATCATCGGTCCTGTGAGTTCAGTATTTTCACCACTGAAAGGAGAAACCTGCAGGACCCAGGGCTCCCGGCCCTGCCCGGCCCTGCCCTGCCCTGCCCTGCCCTGCCCTGCCTGGCCCGGCCCTGCCCTGCCCTGCCCGGCCCTGCCCTGCCCTGCCCTGCCCTGCCCTGCCCGGCCCTGCCCAGCCCTGCCCTGCCCTGCCCTGCCCAGACAGAGGTTAGCGCCATGAGCTCACCATGGTGGGCGGGGGCCCAGCGAGTCCCTCCAGTGACCCAGCCTGGGACTTTCTAAATTTATAAAGTGAGGATGAACTCAACGGTCTCTTTCATCCCCCCAAACACCATCAGGTGGAACCAGAAACCCAGACGTAAGACGAAAGCTCAAAGTGACAGGTTTTGAAATAAAATCGATGAGGAGATGTCATCCCCAGTGCACCCAGAGGCTGTTGAATTTTCCTTCCCTTTTTCTTCATTTTCACGGCTGTCTTTCATGGCTCCCCACCTCCCCGCCCGTCCATCCCTGGCCCAGACCTCCATCCATCTACCCGCTCCGTGGCCTGGGGAGAGCTGCTGGACCTCTCTGGGCGCAGCCTCCTGGCCGGCGGGACGGCGCTGACGCGAATGTCGTGGGCGTGCGGCCAGGGCCCAGGCTCGCCGGCCACACCCGCCATGGGTGCGCCCACCGCCCCTCCCCGCCGGGCGGCCCAGACGCACCTGCGGCTCTGGACTGGAATTCTCCGCAGCACGACAAGGGCGGGTCGCTCTCGAAGCCTTTGAGGCCGCAGCCCCGCCGGGGCAGGCTGCGGGGGAAGTTCAGGTCCGGCCGGTAGTATCTCTCTAGAACGAGCACCAGACGTTCAGGTTCGCCAGGTGAGTGCGGATCCGTCCCGCACACTCCGCAGGCAAGACCCACTCTGCCAGCGAGGTCGTGACTTAAATTATTGTCAACCACACACGCCAACATTTCCTCCAGCACAGAAGCCTAGGTTTCAGCCCCAAGAACCTCAGGACCCTCTTTGTCCTTCCAGAACCTCCCGTGAAGATTCACTCATGCAACGTTCCAGGTAAAGAACCGAGTGTCTCCAGGAGTGACTTCGCCCAACTCGGTAAGAACCTCAAGTTGGCATCAGTTAAGCAGGTGACATTTGACCCACCCCCGTGGCTTTAAATCATGTACCACGTGGCTCAGGGGTCAGGCGTCCCTGTACTCAAGGCCAGGTGAGAAACAGGTGGTTCACTGGGCTCCCCCTTCCCTGCATCCCACCCCGAGGCTGCACGGTGAACGGGTCACTCGAGTTTGACCTTGAGTTCTAACATCCCACAGTCTGGGGGCAGATCCTGCCACCACCGGCTCCTCTCTCTCTGTGTTACTGGGAACAAATGAGTTAATCTCCCTTATCCGTAAAAAGGGGAAAACGACAGGGATGTAGTGAGGAGTCGGTGGGATAGAGCTGGAGCCCGGCGCCTGGCGCAGCCGGCGGTAGCACGTGGCGGGGAAGGTCTCATTGTCAAAACGACGGGTTGTCCTTACGAGGGATGCCACACCGCGCCCGCCAGTGCACTCAGTTTCCCCCCACACCCTTCCCAGTGGCGCTGAACCTCCGGGCCACCAGTAGACCCTGAACCCCCAGCCCCCAGCCGTTCACGGATGCAGACGGGGCGGGAGTTATCTTGCGTGCCCTGTTCCTTAGGTTCCATGCGGGATTTTCCTGAACACTCCCTCCCTGGAGTTTCCATCGGCCGAGACTCTTGTTTGAACCACAGGCCGTTCTGCAAGGCCGGGGTTGCTGTGCTCACTGGGAAGGCAGTTTTGAATTTATTTATTTTTTTTGAAAGAGAAGGTCCATCAACTTTATCATATTCTCAAAGGCATCTGTGATCCAAAAAACGTTAACACATCCATTTAGGGCTTTTGCTGTCCCTGACACTTTATCTGTGGTCCCTCTGGGCAGCTGAGAGCAGAAGAGGACAAGGACGTGGGGACAGGGTGCAGAAGATGGGGTGAAGATGGGGGATGGGTGCGGGGCCAGAATCAAGCTGAGCAGGGAGGACAGCGGGGCCCCCAAATCTCTATGTCCCTGGGGTTGGTCACCCTGGGGAAGGATGCGGCCACATACCCCAGTGGAATTGATTAAAACGTGCAACGCACAACATTCAGACAAATTGGACTGTTGACTTTATCGGGGGCTTCTCTACCTTGTGAGAAGACCCACCCAGAGTTTCCTTTCAGCTCTGAATTTCTAGCTGCCTTCAAATATTTTCCCTTCTAGGTGACTTGGTTATTTGTCTAGACGACCAAATCTATTTTTCTTTTTCTGTGAAGCCCAGTGACTATTTTTGGTGTTGATTGCTTTGCACCGGCTCTCCCCTGCCGCCGCCACACAAGGTCGAGGTGTGCCGCTTCAGCGTGCGGTTTCGATAGCTGCTGCATTGCGGGAAAGCTTCGTGCACGTCTGAAAGTCGAGTCATGCCCAGCCCCCCGCTGCCTCCTTGCTTCTTTCTTAAGCTCTCGTGTCCCTGCTGGATCTTGTTTCATAGAGATGGCCATGCCGTCCGCTCTGTGTGCTCGGGGAGGCAGGTTTGGTCATGATGTCATCTGCTTGGACTTTTCTGGTGTGTGCTTATCAGCTGCCAATGGTTTTCCCCACTCATCGCCCCCTCTCTTGGGCTTGCTGGGCTCCTGCAGGGATCCCAGAAGGGCTCAGCTGGCCCGGCAACTGCGCATGGACTCTATCACTGTGTTCGCCACCTAATTTGCACAGCGAGCCCTGGGCAAAGCTGGGTGTGCAGGCCACGTGCTGCAGAGCATGCCCATCTGTTAGGCAGCGGGGCCAGGAACTGCGGCAGTTCGGGCTGGTTTGCAGAGGTCGGAGGTGAGACAGAGACGGCATGTGCCGGCAGCTGTGGGGTTCAGAGCCGGCAGTTCGGGGTGCCCTGCTCTGAAGTCAAGGCGGCACTTGCTGACCTAATCCTGATGTGTGCTGCCGGGATACAAAGACCCGCCCAGGTGTTCACTCGGGGGCTGACTGGCTACCGATACCCATTCCTCCTCTGTCTTCCTTGCAGCAGCTGAGGTCAGATGCTCACAGACACCACACCCCAAAATGCAAATGCACACGCGTGACACCTGGAGGAAGATGCAGCAGGCATAGCTGTGCATTCTACATGTCCAACCTCCACACGGCCAGCCCACAGCACGGTGCCTGGGGGGTCTGCTGCCATCTAGGGAAACCGAGCGGGGGTCTCGGTGACCGTCTGTGGGGCCTACCGTGTTTCTGTGCGTGGACCCGCCGGGCGCGACCTACCGTCGGGCGTGGAGCACTGCTGCAGCCACGACTTCCCGAAGACCTGGTCCACTCTCTCCCCGTGCCGCACCACCAGCACGCTCCTCCTCGCCGTGGCCTGGGGGTGGAAGCAGGGCACGCGCCGTTAGCATCCGAGTCTGCAGCCCTCCCTGTCACCCAGCAGCTGGCCTGGACTGGGACCCTCTTCCTCTGTTGGTGCCATTTTGTCAACGTCTTTGCAGTGAAAGAGGACGGGGAATTGGGAACCTGTCAGTTCCCTCCAACATCTCACTCTCTGGGCATTGTAGCATCGTAAAGGAGGGGAAGACAGACAGGACAGGCCCACAGCAGGACACGTCTGCTTTCCCGCTTTTCTCTCTTCTCTGAGTCCTGCTCCCCCCATAGAGCAGGCGTCCTCAAACTACGGCCCGCGGGCCACATGCGGGCCGCCTAGCACATTTATCCGGCCCGAGCGGTGTTTTTGCCGCCGCTGCCTGTCCTGCTTAGCAGCCAACTCGTCCCAGGCCCGCAGTGCGCACTCTCCAACGGTCTGAGGGACAGTGAGCTGGCCCCCTGTTTAAAAAGTTTGAGGACCCCTGACGTAGAGACTCTAGGGACATTGTCTCTATCTCTGTATCACAATACGTGTTGCTGTAACATAGATTTGTTATGACGTATTATTGTAACACAGACATAGATGATCCATCTGTTGTCTGTCTATCCATGTCTCTAGCTTTCGCTTTTGCTGGCACTTTCCCTCTCCCGAGGAGCCCCCCAGGGCTGCCCCGTGCTGGCACGTTAAGGGGTAGTTCTCTAGCAGGGCCTGGCTGAGTGTGAGAGGACAACAGTACTTATTTTTCTTTGTTTCTTCTTGGCAGGACAGTGACACTGGCGGTGGCCAGTGGCCTGGAGCTGTGGGGACGGTGGCTCTCTGGCACACTCCTCCCCTGCCTCCGGCAGCCGGGCTGGCCCTGGGGCCAGCGGTGTCGGGGAGCATGGCCATGCTGACCCTGGGGTGGCCTGGCTTCGGGGAAGCAACCCGGGGGCCACCCTTCAGGCGGCGACGTGGCCACTGTTTAGGAGGGGGCTCCTGTGTGTGTGTGGGGTCTGTCCTGGGGGGCTGGGGATGCCCTTCTTCCCATGCTGGTGGGTCGGGGCCCTAGAGGGGAGCCCACGGCAAGTGAGATGGAGAGAGTCAATGAGAGCAGAGGACGATCCCGCGGTCAGAGAGCAGACTGCCAAGGGCCAAGCCAACCAGGGCTACCAGGACAGCGTGAGCCCTGCGCCAGGAGTCCCAGACGTAGCTGGGACCCTCGAGGGAAGCACTGAGACTTGGCTGTCACCCCAGAGGACACTGTGGGGCCGGCTGACATGGACCCTGCACTCACAACCCCAGCCCCAGAGAGGCACCGCCCGGCACCGGGCCCGTGTTGTTTGGGGCTCCGAGGGCTCGTGCCATCAGGGTCCTTGTGACACGGTGTTGCGGGAGGGAGTGTGTCATAGGCTGGGACTCACAGCCACAGCCCCAGGGTCCCTCCCCCAGAGAGCTGCAGATGTCCCTGGGCAGAGGGGCAAACGTGGGAAGTCGAGTCACGTGCAGAGAGGGTGGGGGCGGAGTGGACAGCGCCCCATGCAGGAGGTGGGCTGGGTGCTTCTGGAGGGAGGCAGGACTTGGTCCCACCTGCAGGGGAGGTGGCCAGGCAGGACAGCGGGGCAGGAGGCAGTGCAGGGGCCTTCCCTCCGACCCTCCCGGCCACGCAGCTCTCCGGGTTGAAGCAGGAGCACGACGTTCTCGTGTCTTGCTACTGAGCAGGGTGAGGAAGAGAGGTGACAAGACGCAGTCCTTCCCTGCAGACAGCCCCACACAGCTGCCCAGACCGCCCTGACTCCCCCAAGTCCTAGAGAGGGAATTGCAAATCCTTTAATACCAGACACGCCCACCCCGATGTGACTCAGTTTAAACCGGGCCAGTGTCCCGCCCCTCCCCGCTGGGTCTGCTTCTGCTCACGGCCATCGAGCCTCAAGTCCGTACCGGGCCGCTGCTTCCTCTGCAAGAGTGGTCGGAATTGCCGGGAAGGTAGGGTGGGAGCAAGCCTGCCCGCCCCACAGGTGCTCTGGGGCCAGACCCTGCGGCTCCCTCGTGAGTCCACCCTGACCTGAGCAGAGGGGACTTGCAGCTGACCTGAGGGACTGCGCCGTTCTCCGTGGCCCTGACCACACTGGGGAGGTGCAGAAGCCGTGGACTGGTGTACGGTCGCTGTGCCTGCACTTTCTCAGGCCAGGGGGCGGGGCCTTCACGGCGGCGTGCAGTGGAGGCAAGGGGAGCATCATCTCTTGCGGGAGGACTGCAGGTGTTCGCTGCTGGACTCGAACACTTGCCTCCCGGGGCAGAGCTCCGAGGGGAAGGCTGGTCTTGCTGCCTGAGCGTTTTGAAGTAGGGTTGTGCAGAAATCGTCTATACCAACACCAGCAGTCATTCCCCCACGAGGATGAACATTAAAATGCCCCACCCCATTCTCCTGCCAGGGCAGGCCTGGAAGCTCAGTCTGCCTGGTGACGATCTAAGTCGACGCATCGGGCTGAGCTTTGGATTTGGGGCATTTTCTTCCCTGGAAGAGCCCGGAGCACTTGAACGTTGAAACGTGGAGCTCTGCAATAGGAACGTGATGATCGAGTGAGAGGAAGGCCTGTGGGGGATGGAACAGACTAACCCCGGTGTCTACGGGACTGGCGGGCAGCACCGACCCTACACAGAAGGTGCTGCCTTAGCGGGTCACCACAGGCTGGTTCTCTCGCAGCCCTGGAGGCCAGAAGCCCAAAGTCCAGGTGTCGGCAGTCCACACGCCTCGGAGGCTGCCCTGGAGAATCTGTTCCTTGCCTCTTCTGGCTCCAGGTGGCTGCAGGTGGCTCAGGTGTCCTGGGCTTATGGCTGCATCACTATATTCCCTGCCTCTGCTGTCACGTGGCCTCCCCTTCTTCTGCGCATGGGAGACCCTGCTCTACTTTTCTCCATCGGGTACACTTGTCATTGGGTTTAGGGCCCCTCCGAGGCAACCCAGGATCTGTCCCCACCTCAAGATTCTTAACGCCGCCTACAGAGAGCCTTTTTCTGTATAAGGTCACACACACAAGGGCTCCGGGGCTGAGGACCTCCTGTCTTGGGGCCATCATTCAGCCTCGCACGGTGCCTGTTGCCATGGTTTTCTTGCTATAAAGATGGGGCGATGTCGGATGAAGTGAGGGGTCCAGGTCACAGGGGGACGAATGTTCTCTTGTCATCCATGGAAAGCACCAGCGAGCTCAGACACGGGCGGAGGTTTCCACGCCAGGCCCTCCCCAGTCTGGGAGGGGCACAGTCTGGGGACAGCCCTGCCCTGGCCTCCTTGCTCCCTCCCCCACCGAGGGTGGCCAGTCCAGCCTGAGCCGCCAGAGCCCGGGAGTCAGACACGAGGAGCCCGTTTTTGTCATCTGTGGCTGGTGGCCTGGGGCCGCTCTTCTCTGCCACTGGAGCCCTGTCTGAGGAGGGTCCCTGTTGCCTTCCCAGCGTCCGCCTGGCATTCTGCACGCAGCACCTGTTCCGCGAGCTCAGCCCCGCCTGGAGGGGGCCTCTGGGGACCGAAGGGCTCTCGGGGAAGGGGCAGCGTGTTGGCCAGCTGGGCTGCCCAGCGAGGACCACAGCTGAGGCTGGAGCGGCAGGATGCGTTCTCTCCCCGTGCTGGAGGCCGGAAGTCCCAGGTCAAGGTGCGGCAGGGCTGGCTTGTAGAAGGCGTCTCCTCCCTGTGTCCCCACAGGTTGTCCCTCTGTGCATGTCTGTGTCCTCTTATATGTCTGTGTCTTCCTCTCTTCTTATAAGGACACCAGTCAGATTGGATCAGGGACCCCTCATGACCTCGTTTGAACTTAATCACCTCCTTCAAGGCTCTCTCCATGAACAGGGTCACATTCGGAGGTACCGGGGTTAGGGCTGCAGTAGGAGGATTTTTGCCGGAACACAATCCAATCCATAACAGAGCGTGAGCGTCGGCCTCAGGCTGACCTGATAGCAAGTGCCGAAAGGGCCATGTGGCCGTTCTGTCCTTCACTGAACGAGCTTTACGGTCAAGGCCCCGAACCCGGCTCTGGGACTCAGGACTGGGCCAGACCACAGCGTCCCCCTCTGGGCAGCAGGGCCCGCCTGTGGGGGACACTGACACCCGTCTCACGTCACCCTGGCAGGCTGGTGCGGGGCAGGAGTCTGTGGGCCCCGTTGACCTTCCTAGCCTGACCTTTCAGATCCGTAAAACAGGGAGGGGCAGGAACGCCGCCTCCTGGCGGGTGGGGGTGGGATGAGAGACCCTGAGATAGCGTGTGAGCACACGGGGCAGGGCGCGGAGGAACCGATTTGGACTCAACACGGGTCAGAGAGGCGTTTCCACTGCTAACGGCCAGCTGCAGGGGCAACCTGCTCTTGGGGTCCCTTTGTGAGGAAGAAGGAAGCCTCAGGTCAGGGGACCGACCTGCCAACCACACAGACAGGGACACGACATTGCCATTTGACCCGGCCCCTCGGGGTCCCGCCTGGCAGCCTGCGCTCCTGCACGTGCCTGGGACCCTGGCCCCAAGGCTGCTGTCCTCCGGGTTATGGAGCACAGGCTCCTTCCCCTCACCTCACCCAGCCCGGCCTCGAAAGATGAGAAGCCACGACATTGGCAGAGGTGACTCCTCTGGTGTCACTTGGCTCGTTAATGAGGGAATCGGGGTGAGAACTGAGGATTCTGGGCAGTGCTGGGTCCCTGCCTAGGATCCCAGTGCCACGACCGATGCTGCTTTTGGGATCTTGCAGACAGGACCTTGGTGGTGGACCAGGCGGCTCCCCCTGCCCGGAGCAGGTGGACCAGGGTGGAACCCACGCCGGGTCTGGGCTCCACGGCAGCAGGGAGGATGTGTCTACAGGACAACGGCTGTGCCCGGGAAGCTTGTCCACCCTGGCCTTAACACAAGATGTGGCTTTGCTTAGTTTACTTTTTTACAAAAAGAATTCTATTACCTGCAAATCCTGTATGCTGCTAAAACTCCTCGACGTTTGCGGGGGAGGAAATTCCGCGTTTTGTCTGCTGCCACCGTCGCCGTCCTTTCTGGAGTTGAGGTCGGCGGCCAGGCTGAAGGTGTACGTCCTTCGGAGGAAGAAGATCAAAGCCGTGAGCCGAGGTGCGAGACAGATGCTGTTGCCATAGAAACACCACACCCGTGGTCACGTACCTGCTGGAGAATGTTCAGGATGACCTGGCCAGGTGAGGTCAGTGTGAGAACGAAACGAAACAGCGTGTGCCAAGTGCTCGGGATACAGCGGACGTGTAGTGTGTGGTTGTTTTGTTATTATACTGCTACCACCATCTGTGTTGGTCGGTTTTTTTTTGTGTCACCTTGGCTAGGCCACAGTTCCCAGATATTTGGTCAGATGTTATTTTGGAGTTCACCGGGAAGGTATTTTTAGATGAGATTAAGCCTTAAATCAGTAGACTTTGGATAAAGCAGATGACCCCCATAGGCGGGTGGCCTCATCTATTTGGTGGAAGGTCTTAAGAGAAAAGACTGCAGCCCCCTGGGGAGGGGGGCTTTTGTTTCCAGATCATCTTTGGACTTGAGCTATAATATCAGTTTTTCCCAGGGTCTCCAACCTGTTGGTCTGCCCTGCAGACTTTGGACTTGCCATGGCCACAATCTTGAGCAAATTGCTTAAAATTAGTCTCCCCCTCTCTGTCTTTCTGTCTCTCTGTCTCTCTTTGGGGAGCCCCGACTAACAAGCCATCCTCTTAGACCACCTTCTGAGATGGTCAGAGGTTTGCAGAGGGACATGCCTGGGAGCACACATGTGGAAGACCCGTGGGGACACATGGAAGAGCCCTGGGGACACGTGGAAGATCTGTGGGGACACATGGAAGAGCCCTGGGGACACGTGGAAGAGCTGTGGGGACATGTGAAGGAGTGGGGTATCGGCGGAAGGAGTTGCAGGGATTGGGGTAATCGCCGCCTTCCGATGGCTCGAGCAAAGTGCCGTGGGGTGCACAGGCGCTCGGGAGCTGCGGGGAGACTGGGGGAAGATCGGGCAGACCGGGGCGGAGAGAACTCCAGGCTACCGAGCAGGAGGGGTGATGGGCCCCCAAAGTGAGCAGGTCTGGAGGGAGCAGGTGGGCGGCCAGAGGAAGACCGTGTGTGAGAAACAGCCGACGGTCACCTGAAACCTCCTCGGAACAGTGAGTGATCGATCTCTCCAAGGGGAAGACCTTTGAAAACCCGATTTAAAAATAATCTACAAAATAAAATCTGCAGTCACAGTGCAGAGCTGGCGACCGTGCGTGTCTAGAGCGGGAGGCTGCAGGAGCCGTCCGGCTTGCGTGGGTACCAGGCACGGAGGCCCCTCACCCTCCCAATATCGCCTGCTGACGTTTTGCTCTCGGTTAATCCACTGGGAGAATTCGGGATGTTTTGTTTCCAACTGATGTTAGAAACGTGGAGAACACAGCGAATTAAAAAAGAAGAAAAAAGTCCCTAATTCTCCAACCCCGTTCTCCACTGACTCCTACCCTACCTCCCTCACCCGTCCACGCGTGGAGCTGTTTCCTTACCCTCTTTTTGAGTTTGCACCACTTTTTCAGGAAAAGAAAATTACGTAGTCTAGTGGGTGAAAAATATCATGGACTAAAATAAAGTGGGCAGCGGTGGGGGCAGGCTGCAGTGTTAGACATGTGGGACAAAGACCCTTGGGCGACGCAGGTGCTGTTTGCAAGAGCCCGAGGACGGTGGGTCGCAGGTGCCCAGGGCAGCTGCCCCGCAGAGGGGACAGCTGGGAGGGAGCCCAGCTGCAGGGGCTGGTGCTCGGGGCCAGCGGGCTTGGTGGGAGGGAGTGGAGCCCACTGCACCTTGAGGGGTCGGCCCCTTCCTCCTGGCAGTTAAGACTAGATCATGGGTCCAGGGAGAGCTGGGAGCCCACGGCCACAGCCCAGGTGACCAGGTGGGAGCGTGGAGGGCACCAAAAACGGTCAGATTTGGTCATAGTTTGAACTTTGGAGCCAACAGCGTTTTGCTAAAAGATCAGAAGCAGAGCCCGAGAGAAGTGAGGGGTCTGGGGACTCCCAGCTTTGGGCCTAAACACCTGGAAAGAAAAGTCACCCTTCATACGATACGGAGACCAGGAGAGGAGCAGAATTTGGGACGAAGAGCTGGAATTGGACTTTGGTAAGTCTGGAAGGTTGCCAGCAATCCACACGGAGCCCCTGAGCCGGCCTGGACAGCGAGTGCAGGGTGCAGGGGAGCCACCCGGCCGCAGGGGAGCCACCCGGCCGCAGGGGAGCCACCCGGCCGCAGGGGAGCCACCCGGCCGCAGGGGAGCCGGCGCAGAGGGAGGAGAGCTGGGGACAGGGCTCACAGACACAGCCAGGGGCTGAGCCGGGCCCCCACAGAGGGAGGCGAGAGACAGGAGAGGAGGACGGGCAGCTGCCGGGGTGTGGGGGAGGACACCCGAGCAGGAGAGGCCCTGGGTGGTGCCAGGGAGGGTGGGGCAAGGAGGGGTGGCCTGGTGCCCGACACTGCTGCCGAGGGTCAGGTGAGGGGCGCGGAGGCCCACACGATGTGGGGGGGATCGGCCACCTGGCAAGGGCAGTTTCCGTGGGTGGCAGCTGGGGAAGCCCGACCAGACGGGGTTTTAGGAGAGAAGGAGAGCAGACCCCGGAGACAGCGAATACTGCAGCACCCGCCCGGGGTGCCGCTACAACCCAGAACAGAGAAACGGGCGGTAACTGGAGGGGAAATGGGATAAAGAGGTTTTGCTTGATTGTGTTGTTTTAGGGCAACAGCGTGCTTGTCTGCTGGCGGGAATGACGGAGGAGGATGCAGGGGACAGTAGATGATGCTGCCACGATGCCCTCGGAGGGCATGCGATGCACAGGAGGACGGGCCAAGAGGCACCGGTGGGCAGGTGCCCTGCTGGGACACTGGATGGCCCCGCTGTCCAGTGGTGAGAAGAGCACCTGGGCCCAGAGGTGGTGACGTGGTGGAGAGTGTCGTGCACACTCTGCTGGCTGCTGCACCTGTCGTGGCAGGAGAGGGAGGGGCGAGTGGGTGTGGATGGAGCCCGCGTGGGCGGGGTAGATGGGGGCGTTGCAGGCAGGACCTGCAGGTGAGAGCCAGCAGCATGGGGTGGTTTTCTCCAGCACTTTCCGCCGGGTTAGGGCTTGGCCAGGTGAGTCCAGGCAGCGGAAGGGACAAGGGAGAGGGGGCTGTTCAAGGGAGTGACGGCGAGGGCTGGACGTGGAGGTTAGCTCAGGTGAGGCGTGAGGTGGGGGGCGGTGTGTGAAGGGCGGGGACACTGGGGCTTGGAGGACGGCTCTCCTGGTGACGGGGGAGTCCCTGGGGTGAGTGTGCATGCGTTCATCTACAAGGTTGCAAAACACAGTGTAGATACATTTATACACACCAGCGCTATCAGAATCACTTGAAAATATTTTAATGGTTACATAATATTAAGATGTGCATATGTCATAATTTGTATAGCCAGTTCCATGATCGTCAGAAATGCAGGTTGCGTCCGTTTCTTCAAAACTGCTATCTATACCCCGGCAAAGAACACCTTCGTACGCAAATCCTGATCTCTTTCTTCCCTGGGACAGCGCCTCCAGAGGGGACCCACTGTGACAGAGGGTTAGGCTGTTTCTAGGGTTCCCGGACACACTGCTGGTTTGCTCTCTAGAGAGTTTCACTTTCACCTGCTTTGAAGGAGGACCCTCAGCTCATTATGTGCTCACCCGTGGTGATGCTGCTGGTATGTTAAAAACAGAAAAAACTGTTCTGATTTGAGGGAGGGAAAGGGTACTCATTTTTTGTGCGTTTCTTTTATTACTGGAGAGCAGGTTTTTACGTCTATTTACTTCTCTCCTGTTCATGTTCTTTGCCCACTCTTTCTCTCTAGCCTTAGTGTTTCCTAGCAGTTTCTGAACGAAGACCTTGTGTGTGAAGAATGCGGTGCCCGGCCTGTCCGTCAGGGAAGTGCGGGAGTCGGACGCGGGTCGGCGGGGCCGGAGCGCGCAGGCGTCCAGGGACCCCGCCGCAGCAGGAGGGAGGACGGCGGGAAGGTGACCGCTCCCCAGGGTGAGCCTTGAAGGGCTGTCAACTTCACTGACAGCTTCTGAGAAGCATGGCTCCCATCTTGCTCCTTGGGGGGCAATGTTCTCTGTGAGTTTTAACAAACTGACAAGTCTTACATTTCAAGCATTTAATAATCGCTGATAAAGACAGATCTGTGACGTCTCACTTGGAGATCCCTTCCGCTGCTTCTGAGCTCCCAAGGATCTTCAAAGTCCAAGAAATCAGAAACACGCCCCTTGCACAGAAGCTTATTTTTAAAACAATTTCCTTCCTCCATTGATTCCTTGGCATGGCCAGGAAACACGTTCACCGCGGGATGTGAGGAGACATAGGGTACAACTGATTCTGCAGCTGCGTCACTCCCTGTCTCTGTGCGCCCCAGGCCGGGGGACACCTCCAGGAGGCCAGCCCGGCCAGGCTGTCTGTCTGTCCACCCATGTCTGTCTGTCCCTCTGACCTGCTTTAACCCTAACCCTTACCCAAACCCCAACCGCAACCCCTAACCCTACCCCTACCCTAACCCTAAAACCTAACCCTACCCTACCCTACCCTACCATGCCCCCACCCCTACCCATACCCCTAACCCTAAACCCTAATCCTACCCTACGCTACCCTAACCCTACACATAACCCTACCCTACCACACCCTACCCTGCCCCTACGCTACCCTAACCCTACACATAACCCTACCCTACCATACCCTACCCTGCCCCTACCCCTACCCTTACACCAAACCCTAAACCATAACCCTGCCCTATCCTACCCTACCCTACCCTAACCATTACCCTATCCAACCTCTACCCCTACCTCTAAACCCTAACCCTACCCTATCCTACCCTAACCATAACCCCACTCTACCCATGCTCCTACCCCTACCCATAAACCCTAACCCTACCCTATCCTACCCTACCCTACCCTAACCATAACCCTATCCTACCTCTACCCCTACCCCTAAACCCTAACCCTACCCTATCCTACCCTAACCATAACCCCACTCTACCCATGCTCCTACCCTTACCCCTAACCCTACTCTT